GTGTGTGTGTATATCTATATATATAGATATATACAAAACACATTCCCATGCATCCCAATAATTTTTTTCTGTGAATAGAGATAAAAATCAGGGTTGACATTACATTTTAATATAATGGGGAAAAAAAACCTGTCAGTGTTTCATCCTATGTCTCTGGTGTGCCTAGAAATGTGGCAAGTTTGGAGTGTGCTGTGAAGTCAGATTATTATACTGCTCATTATTTCACTCAAAGCAGCACTTAACTCATACAGCACATTTGTTTGTAATCCTATCTCTAAATGAATCATTTATCTCACAAATGCCAGCAGTCAAGTACTTTTACACTTACTTTTGAAGTTCCAGTGTAGAAGACATACATCCTAAATGTAAAAAAAAAAACAATGGAAACCCAGGAAAAATTGTTACATTCTTTATCCTGGTCTTTTACAGTTAATTAACTATTTTAGTCAAGTAATAGTGAATGCTGGGGGAACAAAATACTGAATATGCAGATGCAAAATGTCTGTCTGAAATGAAAGTGAATTGAACTGAATATATTAAATCTGTATTTTATATTCAGATGAGACAACAAGACAACCTGGCGAGCAGGGTCAGAGCCCTCCGGGCATCCACATTTCCAAGAGGCTACTGTTCTCAATAGTGCATGAAAAATCAGGTAAGACTGAGCTGAGCTGAGTTGTCTATGTGTCTGTAGATGTTGGCTTCACTTTAAAAGCATAACACAGGTGTATAGCTATAAAATGTTGTCACAAAGTTAACCTCTAATGTACTAACAAATTAACATCTGTAATCCCAGAGGAGGATTTTGCGCATTTTGTTTTACATCTGCTCTCTTGTGTCTTGCTTGGATTTGCAGGCTCACATGTACAGATTCCAAGCATTGTTAACTGAACTAAGGCTAAACTATACTAACCTTTAACATTAAGGGCTAAGCTAATAAGATGTCAGCAGTAATCCTTTAAGAAGATTGCACTGATTTACCCAGTTGGAATTGAGTAGCTGGAGATTAATTTCAGATCTGAAGCACAATAATGAAATCATGCTCATTTGAATGTTAAAGCTCCAGTTAACTTGAATTGTACATAAAGCACTGACAGGAGTTGTTATACTTCTTTTCTTGCAGAAAAATGGGACTCATTCATTCGGGAAACTGAAGACATCAACACATTGAGAGAATGTGTTCAGATCTTATTCAACAGCAGATATGGTGAGAAGAACCTCTCTTTGGATTTTGATGTATAGGGTATGATTCAGAAAGGTGTCGCTGCCTCCTCAAGCAATGCCTCATGCATAGTGATGATTCTCTGCATATCTAAGCATGTTGACGGATTGGGGTCACTGGTTTGGTTTGATCATCTTTTCCTCAGTGATAAACATGACACCTATTTGTAACCACAGTGTACTACAGAATTAATTCCTACCAAAAAATGTCTGAGGAACAGCGTAACCGGGAGAAAAATACAGCTGATTACAACTTTACCCTACTAAAATATTGCCTGGCTTTGTGACTTGGTGTTTACAAATAATCAGTGTACTTCTCCTGCATATACTTTGTGTCTACAAATTGGGGAAAACATTTTCACATTATGACTCATGGGATCTGTTTCCAGGACATTTTTTTAATCCAAGCCCACTGCTCAGTTATCATTTCCTTACAGTTTAATTTCTCATTTAGTTGGAATTATCTTCACTTCTGTAAACCTTTACATGGGCTGTGCATCTCACTGGGGGCTGCTTTTTCTTATGCAACAAATGTATCAAGCGGAATAAGAATCGCCATTACCTAGAGTTAAACTGGCTGCCTAAGTGCTAATCTTTCTTAGCATTACAGTGTATTTCTACAAAGCATGCTTGTTTACTGTTTTCTACCTCCAGCCGAGGCCCTGGGTCTAGATCACATGGTGCCTGTCCCCTACCGCAAAATAGCCTGTGATCCAGGGGCAGTGGAGATCATAGGCATCCCAGACCAGATCCCTTTTAAGAGACCCTGCACCTATGGAGTTCCCAAGCTCAAACGCATCCTGGATGAGCGTCATGGAATCCGCTTTATAGTCAAACGGTAAGAAATGCTTTAAGGCTTTAATTACCAGTGGGCAAAACTGGGGTTATTAAGTTGGTCTAGTTTTGATTTTGGGGTTTTTTCTTTGTTTTGTTTTGTTTTGTTTTTTTACTAATGATAGCATGATATACTGTTTGGGCAGACATAAATCTGATCTCATACATAGTATCTGTAATTTAAATGAGAAGATTATCTAAGAAACACAGTGCATGCTTTCATAACAGTCTAATTGAGTCTGATTTAGTCACTGAGTACAAATCATAATTTACCTGTTTGCAACTACATTATCATCCACCTCCACTTTACCAAGCCCCAGTATGGCATTGCTTCTAAAACTTTTATTTAGAAAAGCTCTCAGTAAGCAGCTGCCAGCTGTACCAGCCTATACCATCTGTCTGTTAAACACCTGGCTCCTTCAGCACTCTGTAGTCACACTGAGTGGTAAACCATTTCCATTCATGTCCCAGATGACTTCCCCTGCCAGCATGTTGCACTAACAACTCGTCCATCCATTTGTCTAAGCTAATTTAAATGACCCACCATACCTTGTTTAAGATAACACATCTTTAAACGAATCCTGCAGGCAGCTCATTAGTGTTAATACAATTAGGAAAGACTGGAAGTGTGATTAATTTAGAATTACATCACATCCCCATTGTCAGTGAGAGATGTTCAAGATGCAAGTCCTTTCTTTGGTATTACTTTTTTGACAGACTAAACCAACTGACTTAATTGTAATGGGTGGCTGCTTTAACTGAAACTAAAATGAAATTCTCATTTAAAGCCTCAGCTTTGCCTGTAACACCATATTACATGTAATAACAGCTCATTTTATTTCCCTGTTAGGAGCTGTTACATTTCAAAATGACTGGCAAATAGAGTAACACTTTCTGGGTTTAGTTAATTATGAAAATCTCATTGTATATTTTAAAACATGCTACAGGTGTGGCTTAAGGGAAGAGTATATGGTTGGTCAGTTTGTCTTTTGGCCCAGTAGTTAAATATCTTGACTTCAAATGGATAGATTTGGATAGATTGTGTAAGATTCTAGTAAATGAATTAGAGCTGTAGAGTGTCAATAAATAGTCACCTTATTTCCAGCTGGTAGTTTTGTAAGTTCAAAATGTTTTACAAATAAATGTGAGTAAACAAGACTGAAAGAAATTGTTTTGTCTAAAGATGAATTAAGATCACAGCAGGAGAAGAACGTCTCGGTGGCAGACGGAGCAGGAGCATGTGCCAGGAGGAGGGGGAAGCGGTCCATAATCGTACTTATTTTTAGTCAGATACAGTCAATGATAACAAAGGAACAACTCGATTACTTGAGATTTTGCCTAAGACTGATTGTTTACAGGGCAATTAATGTGCTTAAAGCTGGTAATGATGTGTTCCCCCACATGTACAGTGTTTGCATCATGATTTGTTCCCTGAGAGCTGAAACAGTCTTTAAGCTCAGTGACTAATGGCCTCTTTTTCTTTTTCGTATTCCAGAATGTTTGATGAAAGGATTTTCACTGGTAAGAGTGTGATTGATTTTGTTTTTGTTTTCATACAATTTCTCATGCATGAGTTGTGATTTGGCCTCGTTATTTAAAAACAGCTGATCTTGCTGATCTGTTGATTGTTGATGGGTTCTCATTACCAGTTTGTTTATATGCTTGGAAATCCGAGTGATAATATTGAAAAACTGTAATAGCAAAATGGGGGAAGGAATATTACTTTTATTTATATTTTTCAGAATAGTTTAGCCACCTTTTCTAGACTGACTTATGTATCTTCATGGGCTAAAATCATACATATGGTAGATTATATTGCATGATAAGTAGCATTCAAGTGATACAATCATCTGTAAAACAAAAAGGCTTTTTTAAAACCAAAATGTTTTGACTAATTCACCTGTTGCAACTCCATCCCTGCTGGCAGTATCATAGCGGCCAGTTACACATACTGTAGCTAAAACTATTGCAGTCTGATACAGTGGCCCCACAAAAGTTATTTTAGAGGTGTTGATTCAACCTAATGATCGCTGAGTGGTGTTGTTAATATTTATACACACTAGAGCCCCACCAGTAAATCAGACAGGCCAAAATATCAACAGTAGCTCATGTTTTGAAACTGTCACGACTCCAAAGTTTGTCCACCAGAGAGTAGTAGCAGGCTAATTTTTCCGCACAGTATTTTCATTTGTTTAAAAAACTGATTTAAGGGAGCCTAAAACTAATATCAGTCAGTATCATGTTATGAGATTTTTTTTTTTTCAGTCTCTAAAATCTTGTATTAGTCTAGCTATGGTTCACACAACTTTCAACTTTGACAGTTTTGAGTAAAAGTGATACAAAATTAAAGCAAAATTGGCTCCTTGCATAAATGTAGCATGTATTTTCATCAAAATGAAAAACAATCTATATCTTTTCAAAGGGAACTCTGGGTAAAACCTAATTGTTTTGGTAGGATTCCATATGCACATTATCTGGAACGCTGCCCAGAGATTTAGCTGTGTATTTGTCAGGATCTTTACAGTTAATCACAGTAACTGGCTAAGAGAAAACTGGCCTATCAGTTCTTTATTTATATGTTTACACCCCACAGATGTTTCCCAGTAATGAGATGCACTGTTTATTTGTATCCTGTCTTGTTTGTTGAAGCTGCTGGCAAGATTGCAAGGGAGGAGGGCAAGCATGACCTGGGCTCCCCGCCTGAAGACAGCTTCCATGACAGTCTAAGCATCCCGCCCACCACAGCCGAGCTGGTCAGCAATCCTCACAGCAGCAGGTCTGAGCACAGCCCACAGAGAAATTTAGCATGGCTCTGCAGACTTTGTTTATAATGTGGAAATATGAGCTTGTGGCATGCAGCCAATCTGTATGAGCTTTATAACAAAATGTAATCATAGTACAGACTGAATTTACCAGTTTAAATATACTGAGTTCTAGAATTTATCATACACATTGCTATTGTGACAGAAGTTGTAATAAACTCTAGTGACAGTCCTTTATTCATATTCTTATTTGTCCTGGATGTTTTTGGTCTTTATATCATTTGATTTTCCCTGTAATAGGCCTCTAGATTGTGTAAGCCAGTGAAAGAAACAGTAACACATCTTCCCAATAGATCATCTGTCCAGGATGCATTTATAAAGAATTATCTGCAGGCTACCTTAAGTCTCAGCAAAAGCTGTCACGTTGCCTGTTGGTGTGTAGTTTTTTTGGCTTTTCAGATGACACCAAATATAAAACAAATCTGCATGATTTAACAAAATTCATTAATTCATCCAAATATCTTTATATGGTAGGTAACTGATGTCTGGCCCATGGTTAAAGGGGTTAGCTGACCCAAGTCATATCAGAAAAATAAAAAGACATAACTAAGTTCGTCCAATGTGGTGATCACCTGCATGTGTTTTACTTTACTTCACAGATCAACAAGTGCTTGTGTCAGCCCACTGGCCGACTGTGAAGCAGGTATGTGCATTATAAAAACGCTTGTGGTCATTTTCTGTCTGAAGTAACAACATGTCTGAGTATCAAATGAAAATTTTAAAGCAATGTGAACAGTCTTTGGAAGTTTTTAAAGAAACTTCCCTTCAGTGTTTTGCAATCCACTCAGTTCAAACACGTTCTCTCACTGTTCAACCTCCGCAGGTCCTTCGGGAGATTGTGCTCCTTTGAAAAGGATTAAAACAGAGCCTCCAGATGGGGAGATAATTCAGATTACAGTGCCAGGTAAAGGGCCACACACTTGGCAGCCCTTTGGTTTGAAAATGGTTTGTCTTAAAATATAAACAGTATCCAGAAATGGGTTCTTAAACATTGTCAGACACATAAAACAGTTCTATGTTGTAAATATAAAACTTTGTCAGCACCTGCTGATGGAGTATGAGTATGAGGCTCTTACACCTCTTGATTGTCTTTATCTATAGTCCCTTCTCAAGCTGCAATCAATGCATAACTGAATTTTGCACACATCAGTAGCCAAAAAGCATGCACTGTAAAATCAGTACAGTGCTTATCAATGCTGAGAAGACAGTTTGATACAATTAAATTCTGGCATGTGTCTATTTTAACCCTCCTGTTAAGAACAGTCTCATTCACTGTATGGGAGACAATCCCAAAAGCTTCTCATTGCAAAGTGCTGTTACATGGTTGTGCACTGCTTTAAACAGAGGTGAAGATGTCTACTAGTATGGCATCTTCTTTATCAGTGTACCAATGTGGAATGGGCTCATTGTTGCCCCCAGTGGGAAACAACAGCTGCTGCTGCCACGGTTCTCAGCCGCTACAACACTACTTGGTTTTCACTGTATAAATTACTTTGTGGAAACACGAGCAGAACCGAGAATAAAGGGTTTTTTTTCTGGTTCGTACAAGTTCAGATTATAGGAGGTTTATGGGTCATTAGGATGAGCTGATTGTTCTGGCAAATAAACGTTGGGTAAACCTCCTCAAATGTGAAAAAAGTAGGCCATAGTTGCTTTACACTTGTCTCCCACACAGTGGATAGGACAGCGCCACACTGGGCTAGTTTTGGATTTGTCTAAAACCAGTGTAAGTATTACACGTTTTCAAGGTAAAAGCAGTAATACAGTAAATATTGAAATATCACGTTGAATCTTGGAAAAAGCTAGTAAAAAATGTGTTTGTCCAGATGCTGGTATGAGTGGGGAGGATCTCAGCGAGCCTGTGGCTGATCCTGTTACAGCTGCAACATGTCCAGCTTCATCCTCGCCCTCTGCTCCCCCAGTCCCCTCTGCTCCTTCTGCTCCTTCTGCTCCCCATCACCTGATGGAAAACCATGCAGGTAATGTCAGCCCCATCATCCTCACCTCCTTTTCATCTTGTCCTGGGCTACCAGCTCCACCAACAGCTTTACAGCCTGCCCGGTGCCATCTAGCACCCACTGCTGCCACTCCACACACTGGCTGTTTTTTCAGGAGCCAAATAAGCTGCAGCACGTATGAAACCACTTTTCTCAGATACTTTGTCTTCAGCCAAACCTCCTCAGCCACTAGTAGACACATCCCCAACCTTAAAAATCCCACCTCCCCAGCTTTGACCCACTGTAGCTTTCTCTCTTTCTCCAGTCTTACAAATACTTGCTCTTATCTGTGAAAGGCACCATGCATCAGCTGCTGCTGTTTGACTATGAGTCACTCTCTGACTCACCTTTTTCATATGTCGAACAAACTAAAACTTCCACTCTGTTCAATTTTTTTATCATTTCAGGTATTAAGACAGATGCATCGTGCACCTTTCACCTGTCTTCTAACCTGTTGCCCAGAACGATTAGTTAGTTATTGTATTAGTGAGACCAAAGTACTCCTCAAAGATCCTGTCAAGACTCCCAAATTCTCCCTCTGTCTTAACACTCAGCTCTCCCCTTTAAACCCTAGGTGAATAGAGTAAGCTAACCAAGAACATTTGAGTAGACTACACTCTCGTTCTAAACTGCAACAGCCTCATTTATCAGCTGTTAATAGGAATGGGTTAGTGTAGTCAAATTGCAAACAAACACAGTCTACCCGCTAGTCCTCACGTGTATCTAGCCAGGCACATAGTTTTGGTTTTATTTATCAAGATAATCTAGATAATCCACTAAACACACAGGCCCCAGTTTTCATAGGGACTTTTTCTTTAGAATCAGTTCCAAAGCAGAAGAAATTTTTAAATACAATTTTTTTTTTCATTGCTGTGAACACCACAAACAAAAATCCATTTACCTCCGCTATGTTGGGTGAACACAGATAAGTGAAAATTTCTATGTCAATAAATATATCTGAATTTCCGAATAGAGTTTGTTTATATTAATCAAATGAATATATAATAAATCCTTTTTAACATTTGTAGGCAGCGCTGTTACAGTGTTACAGAGAGTGACTAGTCTCCTCAGCTGGTCTTGGGTTTAGCACACGTTGCTTTCAGGAGGTCGTTTTATTTATTTTATTGATTTGATTGTGTTTTGTTTAAGTTTTCTTTTCTTTCACAAATGACCACTAAAGGAAAGACAATGAAGGTAAGTGCAGCAAACGTCACATTTGGTATTATTTGCTGTTATATGCTCTGTAGTGTAGTACTCAGATGTACTGTAGTGAAATAAAACGTTACTTAAAACATGACTTCTCTCTTTTTATTGTTGCTTATCATATTACTTAGTAAAGTGATATTATATCATTTTTTGTTCACTCACAGACCTGGGAACATAGAGTAACTGTAGTTCTACCTTTTTATATCAGAATTAACTTTAAGGTAGTGTCAGTACTTGATCAGATGAGCATTATGCTCAGTGCAGTGACCTGTGCTCTACTGCAGTACATTAAAACAGAGGAGCAATGGAAAAATGTTTAACTGCTCAGCTTGGGAATTTCTAATCACATTATTCTTGGAATATTTAATTTAAGTAACAGTTGTAAAATTCTATATAAATTGAATTCTGCATGCTTGAAAGCAGCTGCTCATGTTTTTCTTGCATCTTGCAGCTGAAGCTCTGCCACCCAGCGCGGTCACCCAGAGCATCAGAAGATCCTCTGAAGGTATTGGTGGGGGGTGGGGGTTCATCAGAGGCTGTTTATATGAATAACGTGATAGTTTGTTAAATCTAGTTCCTTGTCGCCTTGTTGTGGAGACAGACAATATATATAAGCACTTGTGGACTGATGAACTGTGAAATTATGTGAAATGGTTTTCAGTTATTTCTAAGCTCCCAAATTTGGCAACTAACATAAAAAATGAAAAACATCCTTAGGACTTAGTAAAACCTTGCATGGTTTGTTTATCTTGTCGTTACAGTAAAACTGATATCGATTGTATTTAGTTCAGGTGCAGTACAGTTGATTTGTGGCTTTTAGTCTCTTCTTCCTGAGAAATTATTTTTGACTTTGTTTTTTCAACTCCATTTTTGCACTTCTACCATTTCTCTTTCCCATGTCCATTTGTTATGGTCACTGGTGATTAATACACTACACAGACAGTTTGTCATTACCAGGTCAGTGTGGGAAAGGTGGAATTTATCACAGTAAAGTTGGTGAGGGGGAGAAGTAGTAATGTTCACAGGTGGGAAGCCTCCCACTAACTGAGCTGCCCTCTGGGTAATAAATCTCATCTGAAGTTCTCGGTGTGAATGTTTTGGTGTTTTCATTTGTTTGACTCATGCAGCAGGGAGTCTGGTGGAGGACATCGGTGAAATGATTCTTCAGCTTCGGAGACAAGTGGAGAGCCTCTTCAGCATTAAGTATGGTACGCCTCCTGTACTAGCAGAGCTTAACCCTCGTTCATGTGAAGGTTGGAAATGATGTCAGGCCACTTAATCTAGCAGGATAAAGACGACTCCTCATATACAGTATATCACAGAAGTGAGTACACCCCCTCACATTTTGTAAATATTTAAATATATCTTTTCATGTGATAACACTGAAGAAATGACACTTGGCTACAATATAAAGTAGTGAGTCTACAGCTTGTATAACAGTGTAAATGTGCTGTCCCCTCAAAATAACACAACACACAGCCATTAATGTCTAAACTGCTGGCAATAAAAGTGAGTACACCCCTAAGTGATAATGGCCAAATGGGGCCATGATGACGTCACGGAGCTGGTAGATGTTAAGAGACCTTGCGCACCTCCACCTTCCGTTTCAGGATGCCCCACAGATGCTCAATAGGGTTTAGGTCTGGAGACATGCTTGGCCAGTCCAAGGCCACTGCCTTGCTAAAGAAGCTGAGGGTAAAGGTGATGGTCTGGCCAAGCATGGAGGAGTGGAAGAGGACTCCAATGGCAACCTGTGAAGCTCTGGTGAATTCTCTGCCCAAGAAGGTTAAGGCAGTGCTGGAAAATAATGGTGGCCACACAAAATATTGACACTTTGGGCCCCATTTGGCCATTATCACTTAGGGGTGTACTCACTTTTATTGCCAGCAGTTTAGACATTAATGGCTGTGTGTTGTGTTATTTTGAGGGGACAGCACATTTACACTGTTATACAAGCTGAAGACTCACTACTTCACATTGTAGCCAAGTGTCATTTCTTCACTGTTGTCACATGAAAAGATATACTTAAATACTTACAAAATGTGAGGGGGTGTACTCACTTCTGTGATATACTGTACTCACCCTTTACCAATGTACAGAGTTTATAAGTTGTTGAATTTAACAGATTGGTATTGATCTGTAGTCGAACTTGCAGACAGTTTGTAAACAGGTTTTAGCCAGATTTTTGTGTTAATATTACTGATGTTTAAGATGGCCAAACCTACTAAACAGAGATCCAAATTGTAACAGACCAGAATTCTCCTAAAATTATACAGACTGTACCCGAACACATTCAGTGAAATAAGGTCTGTTCATCTATTTCTGCTATCGTCTCTTCATTAGCTGAAGCTTTGGGCCTCCCTGAACCAGCCAAGGTGCCCTACTCCAAGTTCCAGATGTACCCAGAGGATCTGTACATCACGGGGCTGCCCGAGGGGATCTCTCTCCGAAGGCCCAACTGTTTCGGAGCGGCCAAACTACGGAAGATCTTAGCTGCTAGCAGTCAGATCCAGTTTGTTATCAAAAGGTAAGACCAGATAAAGAAAATAAAGAAGTATGCCCCCTGAAGTGTGGCAATATAGTGTATATCACTCATATTAACAGTTTATTGTCTTTAGACAAGGAAGTGAAACTTTAACTTAGGGGGTAATTAAATCTTTTTGTCTACAGGCCTGAGCTGTTAACTGAGCAAGTAAAACAAGAGTTGCCTTCCATCCCTGTCTGTGATGCAGGTGTGTCTGTCTTATACTCTTTGTTGGAGGTGTTTGGCATCCATCATGTGTTTAAATTGTTTATTTGGCTCTTTTAGCAAGGCCTAGATGCATTAGGATTTTGTTCAGGGAAGAATGCTCCTAAACAAGCCATGTTATCAACTAACTCTATGCTGTAAGTGACACGTTTTCTGAAAAAGCCCTGCTCAAAACTGAAAGCCACTTTGTGCATGTCAGTCTCGTGAATCATTTGTTCATGTTATTAGAGCCATTTTTTGTCTGCATTAGTCATTTCTAAATCAGTAAATCTCAGGAGACTACAAAACAAAAGTGTGACCTCTAAATGGTTTTCCAAAGACCTGGACACCAAGGACACTGCGCCAGTGACAGAGGACACAGCAGCAATATCTAAGAGACCTGGATTCTCAGGTTTGCTCAGGTTTTTAATTTTCAATTTCAGTCGCTACTTTGAAGCTTAGATTTGATGCAGTCAGTTGTTTTAACATAAATCCGCTTTGTGTATTGACATATCACTGACTTTTACACCTAAAGAGCAAAAAGGCTAAAAAACTGCAGCCAACTTTAAAGCACTGGTCTCCAACACGTCACTTGTGAGCTGTCAGTAGGTAGTTTTGGACAGTGTTGCATTCAAACACGTCACTTGTGAGCTGTCTGTAGGTAGTTTTGGACAGTGTTGCATTAAGCCTTAAAAGTCGTCACTTAAATGAAATGATAAACATGTACAAGAAAAAAGGAGGTGCATTTCCATGGATTCAGTTAGTTGTGTAGTTGTGTTGTAGTCTGCAGCATGTTCAAGTCACACTTCTCACACTTCAGTAAAGTAAATAACACAACGCCAAATTCATCATCAGCTGTTGCTGTTTGCTACATACCATTGGATGTACTGCCAGCTGTCAGTGTTGGTTGTGTTGATAAGTAGCCCAAACTACAATAAGCAACTTTCCACTGTTTTTACAACATCTATAGTACATGGAATCTATGAAATAAGGTTTTGATATGTGAAATGAGTGCATACTGTATGAGCTTGGCAGTCTGATGTGATGACTGGTTTATTTTTGATGCAAAATGTTTTGGATATTAATATTTGATACTGTAACTGGTTACACAAAACAATTAGCTTATTCATCTGGTTTTGTTTGGAGATCTGTTTGAAAGTTTTGATGCAACATGTGAGTAAATTGAAAGTGTCTTCTGTCTCCAGAGTGCTTGGAGTCCAAACTGTCCAGGATCGATCTGGCCAACACACTGCGAGAGCAGGTCCAAGACCTATTCAACAGGAAGTATGGGGAGGCATTGGGCATCAAGTACCCTGTCCAAGTGCCTTACAAGAGGATCAAGAACAACCCGGACTCGGTCATCATCGAGGGCCTTCCCCCTGGAATCCCCTTCAGGAAGCCCTGCACCTTTGGCTCCCAGAACCTGGAGAGGATCTTGGCAGTTGCTGACAAAATCAGCTTTACCATCACCAGGTGGGAACTCCAGTCCTGTTTTCTGCCATTCTCAGTAACAATCTAGTTATTTGATAGGCATGTAATAGTAACCATTTGCCACTGCTACAATGTATAATTCACACCTAAGTCAGAAAGCAAACTGATGCACCTGAACCAGCAACAATCACCTGCTAGTTCTCTCATTTCGAAGGTGCCATTTTCACTCTGCTTGTTAGGTCGGACCAGAATTCCAAAACTCAAAACCTATCCGATTTATATTGATATGAAAATTTAAAAAAAAGATTCACATTTAGGAAACTGGGAGCCGTCTCTGGTAGGCTAGTGGTTAAGGCGTTTAGGAAACTGGAACCAGAGAATGTTTGGCATTTTACTTGATAAATAACTTGTACAATAATCCATTATCAAATTATAGACATTTCTGTGAGATAACAGAAATCTTGTTTAGTTGCTTTGACACTAGACATTTTTCATTTGTGTTTTTTTATCTAGCAATGTTAAGAAATTCTTTAAATAGCACCCTAAAACCTTTACGCTTTTGCAGGTAGAATGAGGACATTACCTCATGGTTGCCCAAAACTATAGTACCTTCATTATCATGAAAACAGATGACACCAGGCTTACATATTCCAGTGGACACGTTGCACACTTGCAGACAGAAGGACCAGTTTATTTTAGAAAATTAATTATTAAACAACTTTGTCCACAACTTTGATATATGTTTAGCACATTTACTGTTTTATCAAATCCTTTCATCCTCTGACAAGACCTGCTCATATCTATTTGTTTTATGCAGACCTTTTCAAGGACTCATTCCAAAACCAGGTAGGAGCAGAATATCATTTCTTTCATAAACTTTGCTTAATTAGCCATAATTTTATCACAGAGGACTAATATATCGGTCATCAATTTTACCAGCACCTCGGCGAGTCACTTTACTAAAGAAGGCCTACGCCTCGATAAGTGGTGAGTAAATAAATGGTTCCTAGCATCCTGGTTTTCCCCACTGTCGCTTCATCGGGACCTTTATTTTGGAAGCTGTCCATGACTGATTCTCTCCATCTGACAGATGATGATGATATTAACCGCATGGGAGAGAAAGTGGTTCTTCGAGAACAAGTCAAGGAACTCTTCAACAAGAAATATGGTAAATGGAGTTAGATTTTTATGCCATACATCAATATGGGTTTTTGTTAGCTTGAATATTAAAATGCCCATGGACTGTTTGTCACTTCTATAATCTAGTGTAAACATTTAGTCTGCATCATCATAATGTGTGTGGCTTGGCCAAGACTAGGTTATATGATTAGAAGTGTAGCATGGAGGATCATTACAATCCCTACACACATCTGCGTAACAGAAACATACGTTTACCACATAATTTCTGTGCTTTTTGACCGGTGGTACTTTTGACCCATGACCACTGTACTTTTGACCTGCCTCATGGTCAGGTTGGTGTCCAGGTGAACATCCAGTGGACTCTGTTCTCTATCATAATATCATGTTGTGTGTTTAGGTGAGGCTCTGGGCTTAGACCGCTCCGTCGTGGTCCCGTACAAGCTGATCCGTGGCAGTCCAGAGTCTGTCGAAGTTAGTGGCCTTCCAGACGATATCCCCTTCCGAAACCCCAACACCTACGACATTGTGTGCCTGGAGAAAATCCTTCAAGCCGCTGATAAAATAGCATTTAACATCAAGAGCCAGCTCCAGTGAGTGTGGAGATATGAATATTCAGCACCCTGTTAGCTGTATTACTTACTGTATTTCTAGTAAAGCTCATTATGGTTTATTTAGGGTCTGGATATAATCTAGCCCCTGAAGAAGAAATTGTCCACAGCAGCAAAAGTAAATAATGTGAAATAGCTGAAGCAGTTAAGCTATGATAAAAGAATGGAGGCAGAAAACCTAAATCATGGCTTTTTTCTGTTTATGTATGGAAGGAGTGCAGCCTGAACAGCAGGCTAATGCAGATTATCCTGTTGTTTTGAAATTGTACAAAAAAAAAGCATTTTGATTGCATTTCTGAATACATCAGCTGCTGCGTCACCTGTAATGACCCAGCAATTTTTTGTGCACACAGGCCTTTTGCAGAAATCTGTAGCCAGGCTTGTAACACAGGTAGGTGCTGCTCGATTTTCTTGTGTTTGTGGACATAGAGCTCTGTGCTGTAAAAAAAAGTAAAACCATGTGCTCTGTGTATCTAGTAGGAACAGACGCCTCCACCAATCGACGAAAGCGCAAGAGAGTCCAGGAGAGCAACCGAGCACCTGCCTCTTCTGACCAGGGGATAGGAGCCAATCAAATTCCAGTGATGGTACGTTTGAAAAGAAAAAATAAAGGCTTCTAAAGAACATCTGTTCCTTACTAGGATGTAATATGCTTGATAGTTCACTAACCTTAAGATCACATTTGTTCATAAAACCCACTTAAATGGTTTTTACAAAGATACTGGCATTCAGTATTTTCTTATCTGGGACTTGTTTTTAGGTAAGAACAGAATCTACACACACTCAGGAGCCCAAAGTAGCCCGGTGTCGTAGTCTTTAAAGTTTTGAAAGTAAGATTTAATTTGTGTGACCCTATTCTTTAAAGTAATTAAGTTAAGAGTTTGAAAATGTCTAGTGTTAAGGTGAGTTAAATATTCTTTAATCTGTTCCTGACTTATCTTTTCCATCACTTTAGAAACCACACTTAAAATTGAGACTGAGATGCAAGTAGGTCAAATACTTTTTTGCTACTTTTGTGTAAACTATTGAAACATTAAACAATTTGGGGCCATAAAAGGAAAGGAATGATTTTTTTTTTTTTTTTTTTACATTATGTTTTAGATTCTGTTGTGAGATGGCTTGAGGTGTATGAACAAGAGATTCTGCTCTGGCAAGTAAAAAGATAGGCCCATTATTTAGATCAGTGTTAACACTTACTGTCTGAACAAGGGCAAACTGAAAACTGTTTTAGTTGTTGTGATTGTACAAGTCAGAGGTGACAAAACTGACAAGTACAGGTCAGTAATCATTGCAAGGTTCACACTCTTAATTCCTGGCTTTTCAAGCAATGTGTCAAGTGCATGTGGCCACAAACAAGTCCCATATAAGTCAGCATATCTTAGAGAGCCAGTCATTCTGAGGACATAAATAGTCAATCATGAATAGCAGAATATCAACGCAACTGACTATGTCCAACATTCAGTCAGTGTTGATTTCTGCCCTTCATGCAGTTTGTGCGATCAGACCTAAGTGTCATAATGAGTTCATGTGAAACACCTTGTGGGATTGATCACCTGTGTCCTGATTGGTCCAGACTGAGGGTATATTTATGTCTGTACAATGACTTGTCTTTGTAAGACATGTCGATGATGATATATTGACTGGTACAGTCACATTTTGTTCATTTTTGTTGCACTTTATCACTTGTGCACATGCAAATTTTTTTAGACCGGTGCTCAAGATGGTGAAGCTGTATTTTTCAATTTATTTTTACAGTTTGTTGTAGTCAGATAAGACAACATTCTGATTTGCTTACAACAAAAAATTTGTTCCTTGCAGTTTTGCCCTTGTGAAAAGCCTCAATGGGTTTGTTTTATTTAGACCAGGTCTTAGGTAATAAACTCAATTTGAGTGGCAGTTTTTGGTGGCATGTGACTTTTGTTTTATACTTTATAATTTTATTTAGAAAAAAAAAATTTTTTTTATTTTTTTACAAAGTAGTTTGAACTACTTTTTCTGAGTAGCTTTAGTTAACCAAACTAGATTTCCCCTTAGGGCAGCTTTGCTGTGGTTCTTCGTTTGTTTAATTTAAAAAAATTAACAAGATGCTCAAAGTATCACAAAAACTCTTCATGATAAATAAAATCATTGCTCCTTTCACTTTTAAGCTTGAGATATTTTTACACAGCAGCTCTTTAAATGCTATTTTGTTACATTCTGCAATTAGATTGAAGGTAAATATTTTTTCCCCAGAAAACAGTGTTGAAACGTGTGCATGTGCCTTGTGTATGTCGCCGTGTTTAACTGCTGGAGCCTATTAAAGGTGTTCTTAACTGTCCATTGAGCCACTAGGGTGGCTAGTGAGAAGCCAGAATAACAACAGAAGCCCTGTAAGGCACCTTGGTGTCACATGAGAGGGGTAGAATAACAGAGAGGGACCACATCCTGTCCCATTTTCACTTGATTTACCAGACAATGTGTAAAAAAATGTAATTATTGGACCTTAAAAGCTGGTTTTGATGCACGGTCTACAACATTTGTACCAGTGAAAGCATGTTTGCCACCTTTCTGACCTAATTTCATTGTCTCTGTGTGCATGTGCCTGCAGCAGTGGCCCATGTACATGGTGGACTACAGTGGAGTGAATGTACAGGTCCCCGGGAAAGTAAATTACTTAAGGACAAACCCGGACTGCGGCAAAGGGATGAAAGGAGGAGTTTGTCCAAGTGATATTCGTGACTCTTCCACATGCAACACTAACACTTTGTCAGAGTGCTAAGACTAAACAGTCTCCAGACTGAATCTAGCGAGCTGAAGGTTCGACTCTGTGAGTGATATCCTGAGTTTTGAGGAACAATAGAATGTACGTGGATCAAAATGTTGCAGGGCAAAGCTGGACTTTTCTGTCTTGTGCAGCCACGTGGTGCCAGCAAGAGGCAGAAAACTCGGCTTTTTGTTTTCCTTCTAAAGTTGATCATGACACTGTTTTTCTTGTTTAGCAAAGCTAAAAACATTTATAAAGTCATGTTATTTGCCCTTGCGCTTATGAAGTATCCATCCACCGAGTCGTATTGTTGGATCCAGCATTTGGTTGCAATGTATTACTGACAAAAACTGTCTTTGATAGTGATCTGGTTCTATAATATTCAGATATTTGTACTTTTTATTTATTATATTTATTGAAATATAACATTATGTGCAGGGATGTAAATTACATTATTCTGTTATACAGCTCCTTGAGGAACTATCACAACACTAACAGATGCTACTAGTCACTCAGTAACTACACAATGATATTGAACTAAACGGCAGCAATGAAGTGTCTTAATTCGGTGCTGGGGTGACTCAAGCCATCAGAAATGAAATGACATAAAATGGACTTAAAGGTTTGCCCACAGGTGGAAGCTCTGCTCACAGTGGCAAGAGGCACCTGCAGTAAACAAGACCTTCAGTAAATAGCCTTTTTATGTTAGCACCACATTAACAATGTGTAAAATATCTCATATAAAGTCAGCCTGAATGTATCATGTAAAGGAAAGAATGGTATGTTATTCTGCGATGACTGTCTCTGGACTAATGCTATTTAATATGCTGTACCTTAACGCCAATTAGGCCTTTGAAATAAAATGTGTTGCCTTGCACTTTCACTTTGTTGGAGTTTGTTTTTGATGTGTTGCCCAATGTGTATTGTACAGGAAGTCAATGTCAGTGAGGCTGATTCAGAATCAAGACTGCTATTAACTAACTAGACAAATGCATTTCCTCAAGAAAATGGATGTGGATGCTGATTGCTGAAGAATTGCCCTGAAATTGCTGAAATCCATGACGGATGAGGTTCACATGCTCATAAACACCGAGTATGAAATAATAGAATAAAAGTGCAAATGTGTTCATTTGTAAAACATCTTGAGGCGACTTCTATCTGCTAATAAAAGCGTCTAGGTGAAAGGTGTGTTTGTACTTGCATGTGATTTTACCGTCAATGTGTGCACAGCAGATATTTTAGCGCTGGAGCCTGAAAAAGTTCAGCCGCTGTCTCGCACCGCCCCCTAGTGCGCATGTGCAGTGGACCCCAGAACGCGGAAGCAACCCCGGAAGAAAAACAAATTTGCCAGGCGTGCTCCATTCAGTGGGGAAAATACATCGAATAAATGAATGTATTAACGTTATGAAAAGATGTTCTCATAATACAGACATTGAAAAATTCCCTACCTTTTCCCCTTAATACATCCGTGGGAAGAAGTAGTAATTCCTAATGGAACTTAGAAAGCCCAGATGTGGTCACTGAACTCCCCCAGTGAGTCCATGTGCAGTATGTGTCTAAAAGGTTTAGGATTTTTTTTTTTTGTCTACTGCTCAGGGATGACTGGCTAGATTTGAACATATAGTTTATTCTGTTTTGATGTGGGTTTTAGACCTTTAGTCAAAGGCTTTACTGAACTGTCTACAGTTGCAACAAGTTTATTAAGCATTGATGCACTTTGCCTTGTTCTTTTATTTTCTTTTGCTGATCTCTTTAGTGATGAGTGTTTGAATGTCATTTCTTTACTATCAGTGTAGTCTATGTGATGGTAAGACTGGCACAGGCTACAAGTAGCACATAGCAACAAAAACATGTAACTTTACCCAATATTTTGTGTAATATTTATAGTGTTCTTCCAGTTGCCCTTACTGTTTTATTTACAGATCTTACACAAGTCAACTTTATAATTGTCTCCCATTACTTTCTCCAGAAGTCAGGGCACGAGGTGCCTCTCAACATGGTGGTTAATCCATAATGGGAAGCCATTATCTCTAATGGTCACTCAATCGTCATATAGCAGCATTGTGAGGCCCAGGATCCCCCCCCCCCTTATTCACTTTCCATGAGCCAGACGACTGGATCAAAGCATGAAGCAGCACTCTAATTCTGCACTCAGACACATTTAAGTCAGAGATGGAGCCAGGATTCATTTTGCCTCATTTCTTTATTGCAGATGCTGTTTTTAGTTTGTTTGTATACATGTCAAGACTCAGTTCAGGGACTGTACTGCAGTACTGAGAGCAGAATGTGAACAGAGGAGGAAAACTTGCAGTTTGCTCTCGGTGTCTCTGCGTCTTGTCCAGTCGAGGAATTCGATAACCTTGATTGTCACACAAAACTTTTCTTAACCAGAGCTTCCTTTTAAATCCCACTGGTCCTTTCCATTTGTTTAAGCAAAACGATTGAGGTCATCAAGCTGTAAATGAAGTAACTTTGTCCCTGTTCACACACGGCAACACAAACTAACATGTTAAGTGACAAAAAGAATGCCTGCAACACACTGCTGGGCAGTGACTGTAAGTCCAAACATGAAAAATCACCATGTGAATTCAATAGACATCTGTGAATCATACTACAGGTTAGTTGATAAAATGACAGATGGTCAAAATTAAAAGTAGTGTAAATGTAAAAAAACCAAACACTTTTAATCCCCTCTAACTGGCGTTTGTGATTTAGCTTTGTTTTATCAATTTTTTTTTATTTACAACAGCCAAGTATTGCCCTGTCTTAAACAGGCTAATGTATGTATACCCACTTTGCTACTAAGGTTTCATTGTGCTAAACACGTTTTAATTGTATAACTTCCCAATTTTAAAAACAAGTTACCTGCCCTTTATTCAGGAAATTACACAGCTCAGATAAAATGCACTGTCAGAACTAAAGTGCTTAATGAGGTTTTTATCCCCAGTGCAAGCTGCCATTCTCATGGTAACCTGACAGGGGGATAGAAATGAGGCTTTATGGATAAAAACAACAAAACAAAACAATCTATTTGTATAAGTTTGATAAATGAGGTTCAGGAGAAGAGGAGCCCCATTTTTCTGAGCTGTCCAGTGGAATATGTGATGTGCAGGAATGTGGTC